TTCTTCCCCCCCCCCCCCCTGCTTATGTAACTTGGTATGAGCTGTCGTTCCATTACATTGCCTTTGGGTCTGATATTGTACTTGCATTCTTAAAGATTAAATGATTATTCGATTTGGCCAGTGTTCTCTTATCTTTCTTCCCTAATAAGCAAAAGGATAACTAATCTTCACAAAACTGTTACTGCACAAATGTTTACTAGTTCCTCTTGATGCTTTAATTTCGACAGAAGCGTATAGGGTCAGCTGAGGTAGATAGATTTCATCTCTAAAAAGCTGCAACAATTTCTATTTCCTGATAATAGATTCACAAATCCTTCCAAAAGCAACATTAGGAAACCAGTTAATGTTGTGGCAAAGGCAGGTCAGAATGAAAACACTCTCTTTAACTTTGCCACATATTGTATCCAAAAGGAAAGGCAAGAGAAGTACGAGTTTCTCTCTCTCTTCCACTCTCATTTCCCCTTTCTCCTTAAAGCCTTCAAGCTTTGGAGATTCTCCAGCCGTCACCATTAAGTCCCAGGTGGTCAGGAGCTTTATGACTCGGGCATCAACTGCCATGATTTGTCCTCTGTCCGGGACCTCATCGCCTGCAAACATCTTTCCCTGAACTCGATTGATTACCATGACAGGCAATCCTGGAGTCCTTCCAAAAATTCATTGATGATAACCTCCAGTTGGAGTTAACTTGGCGTTTGGATGAGCATCGCCGCCAAATCCCAATTTCTCCTCTTTAAACATCTGTGTTCCCACTACCACCATGCAAAGCATCCATCCTAACGGCTCAGATAGAACCTTTTTAGAAGAAAAGAGACGTGTTCACACCTTCGCGTTCGATGGGAGCCATCTTCCTCTCAGAATTTTGCAGCTACTTTATGAAACAGACATGCCCATTTGCCTTGCCTGATTACCACAGGATTTCTGGGCTGTGTCTGCAAATATGGGAGAGACTGCCTCGAACCTGAGAAAACCCAGCACTAGATTGAACCAAGAACGCCCAGGAGCCTTCTTCACACCCAAATCCCTCATCAAAGTCCTCCACTCAGCAAGCTTGTTCCAAAAACTAGCAGCTGCATACATATTTGCTATCAGTACATAGTACCCTGGTGTATCTGGTTTCTTGCCCAGAGCTTTTCAACTGCCCATTCACCCATATACGTGTTCACATGAATGAGGCAAGCTCCCAGTAGAGTAGCCCACACGGAGCTGCTATGCTCGAGAGGCATTCTTTGGATTATATCTTACTCAAGAGACTTGCTCTGCCATAGAGATCAACCATACAAGCAAATGTTCAAGACAAGGATGTATCCCATGGTCCCACTCCATGTTCTCAAACAGCCTTCGTCCTTCATGCATTAACCTAGAACGGCTGCAGGCCAATAGAACTGCAACCATAGTTGCATGGGCAGGTTTGACATCAGATCCGATAATCTCTTGAAACAGTGCTAAGGCTACACATCCTTCACCCCGCATGCCTTACCCATCTATCAAGGAAGTATACGTTAAGTTATCCCTCTTGCTCATCAAGTCAGATACTTTCTTTGAAGCTTCAACTTTTCCAGGATCTTGCACACATATTAAGAAGGGAATTCCATAGGATAAAACAGTCCCTCAAAAGTTCTGGTGCCACAGGACAGGATATATCAGTGAAACTCTTTCCGTCGACAGTTGTGCAGAGAGGAAGAATGCTTCCAGGAGTCACTAAATTTGGCTGACGGGCAGAGAGCATTATCTCCTTGATCACGGCGGAGGCTTTCTCCGATCTGCCAACTCTGGCAAAGCCAGAAATGATAGAGTTCCAGTTGGCCAAACTCTTCTTGAATTTGTTGAAACACCACAAAAACATTCTTTGGTCGTTGCGTTTGGAATACATCGTGATCATGTGTTTTGAACATTGTCAATCCCTGTAAGAAAACTGCTAAGTGCGAGACCGTGAATCTCTTTCCTCTTCCCAGATGACGGCCATGTTCCTGTTAGCGGTGGAGTAGGAGTACCCAATTTTGTCACCACCATTATTGCACTGCAACTTTCATTCCACTGTCCACACATGTCATTAAAGTGATTTATCATCTCACAGACTAACCCCAAAGCTCCTCCAGGGTTGCCTGCAAGCAAAAAACCTCCAGCTACGGCTTTCCACGTTATGACATTGAATTCTGTACCAGAAGACCTCATTTCTTTGAAAAGCTCAGACGCTTTGGTTCCACATATATAACTTGGAATGCATAACGGGTTACGATTGCGTTCCGGAGACAACATCCCTTTCAGGCATTTGAGCAATACTCACTTTGCCAAATTTGCTATAAATAGAGATCAACGCATTACGGACGCGCAATCTGTTCCTGTGAGGGCTGACCTCGATGGACCCACGAAGCAAAATTCAGTGTTTTTTCACAGGCCTCGGGTAGAATTCCGTTGTTCAACATTCGCTTGTAAGCAGCGACAGCAACCTCAAAAAGGTCGTTGCGAGCATATGAAGCGATGAGCACATTCCAAGGCGAGGGATATTGGAATTCAGGGCAGCTTGGGCGAGGAGATTAAAGGAAGAGAAAGTAATCAGCTTTCGGACAAAAAGGGGACGATATCCGAAGCCCACGAAATCCCAAGAGCGTGAATTTGCCGCCTAGTGTCGAATTCATGGAAGCCGATGCAAACATCAAACGCACGAAGCTTCATCCCTAGAGGCATATCATCGAGCAGGTGGTGGGCGTGCGGTAAAAGCCCCCCCCCTTCATGAGCTAGAGGAGAGATCAGAAAAAGACATTGATATGCTTTGTTCAGATTGGGCCAATGGGCCTACTTTCCCTAACAATGTCAAAGTTGAAAATAAAACATCAACTTGGGTAAAGCAGACCATACAAAAATTGTGGCCACCGTCGATCTTCGTGTTCATCGTTATCCACTCTGGTGATGGTGTGGACGGATGCATTTCCTCCAATCTCGACGCTTTTCTTCCTCTCTCTTTCATGGCCACCGCGTCCCCTCCTCTCCCCCGTAATTACTTTTTCTCCACTGCCCGGCCTCCATCCCTCCGCCCCCATCCGCCGCCGGGCGCCGTAGCTTTGCCGCTCCGCGGCTTCCGATATCCGACCTTGCGGAGCGGAGGGAAGGTGAGATGCTCGGCGGCGGAGGTGTCTTCTCCGGCAGCAACGGCAGAGGAGAATTGGGTGCCGGTGGTACCGGTGACGGCGCTGCCGAAGGGGGAGAGACGCGTCATCATACAGGACGGAGAGACGATTCTGCTTCTTTGGTACAAAAACGAGGTGTTTGCAATCGAGAACAGGTCTCCGGCGGAGGGCGCTTACAGCGAGGGACTCCTCAACGCCAAGCTCACTCAGGTTCTTTCCTTTCTTATATGGTCTTCGTGTAGGTACGAAAAAAGTGATGACTTTGGTTGTTTCGATTACTAGACTTGCCTTATATGGTTCCTTGTCTAATCCGGTTAAGTTTCCATTATCTACATACAACACTGTCACACGCCTTGTCTAGCTCCTACCCAAGAGGCGACCATATATCCTTCAACTTTTGAAAATTCTAAACAAGGAAAGTAGTGGTTTTTAGATGAATCTCCAATGTCCAGAGAGGTACATAATCGTCCTTGTGATATTGCAACAGGATGGTTGCATTGTGTGCCCATCAACTGATAGCACGTTTGATCTAAGAACCGGAGCCACCCGAGAATGGTATCCGAAGAACCCAGTTCTAAGAGTCCTAACTCCTGCACTCAGAAACCTCTTCGTGTACCCAGTCAAAGCCGATGAAGAGAACATCTATATCAGCATGAGAGGTGGGGTGCAGTCAGATGCATCCACCGAGATCGTCTTCAGCGGCAAAGCTCAGCCCGGTGTCACTGCCACCGACGTCAACGTGGAAGAGGTAGGCAAGCAAAGCTATGCCTTTTGTGTACATTCTGATTGGCTCATGACATGTGATGAATGTGATGATCATAGGTGAGGATGGTGGTGGATGAGGATCTTGAGGGGTTTGGTTTCACGGTGAAGAACGAAGTGATAAACGGGAAAGCGGCGGTGGTAGGCTTCTTGCTGCTCTTAGATTTCGAGCTCTTGACAGGTAAAGGTCTGTTAAAGGGGACTGGTTTCTTGGACTTTCTCTACTCTGTTTCAGATGCTTTCAATTAATCATGTTATACCCCTCCTCATCTCTCAATGTATACATATCACAATAGAGATGGCTCTTCCTACTCTTATGTAATGTTATGCTTGCACCATTGTGCTATCCAAAATTTTCTCCAATACCATTGGGGGACCGTTGCAGAGGCATTTCCATCTGTGTTTTACGAATAGCAATCAATGACCTCTTGCCGACCGGAAAGGAGATTACATTATGAATGCTAGATTTTTTTTGGGCCAGCGAACCAAACTCCGTGTGAGAAAATCACTCAGGCCTTTTTATTTTCTATGAGAATGTAAACAACTTTTTCGGGGATGAATTTATGAAGCGGTCCTCTTCTCGATGCCAAGTGGTCACCGACTGGAAATCTCTGCAAAGTCTCAATGTGTTCGCTTGTATGTGCTGTTTTGGTTATAGATCCTCAAAAACAAAAGAATACCGATAAGTATGATATGATCAATGTTTTCAAAATCGGGTAGGAGGCATCACAGAGACTGAAAATTTTGGGATTTTATTCACAAGGTTATAATGTTTTGTGATTTTGTAATGGAAGATTAAGATTTGGTCAAAGGTCCCGCGGAAGACGGTGGTGACGTCATGCCTTATGCAACAAAACGCAAAGCCCCACGTTTTGTTCCGCACCACGCGCACGTGAGTTACTGCTCCTCTGTCGACTAGACTTTTCTTTCTTAAATTTTGACGTCGCTTTTGTACTTGTATAATTCACCTCAAATATGTAAATATAATTTATCTGTTATCCCTTTTCTTATATGATAGATAGATATTTCATCAAAAATTTTGGTTTGGCTGTACACTTCATTTATATACATACTGAGCAATGATTACACCTTTTTTGTCACCATAAAACATAATTATAGATTAATTGTTTTGGAAGGGAGCACTTTCTGATTGCACATTTTGGAAGAGAAAAAGGTTGGAAACGTGTGTGTGCAGTGGTTGGATTATGTGGACGATGAATGATGCGGATTTACCCCACTACAAAAGCAGAGGTGGAAGATGTGACCCACCAAGTGCCAACTTGGATTCGATCATTGAAAGAAACAAGAAAAAATCACCGGCCACATTTCATTTGATAAATCAGATCCCTTCCCCGGTCTCAGCTTTGACCATTTGAATTTCTTTTTTTATTATTAAAAGATATTTAATATGTTGAAAATGCTTTGGTCAGAGGGCTTGCAAATTTGAACCCCTTAGACTTTAGTTGTTCTTCAACGTATATATATGTTGAAAACTGAGGTGGTCTGATCAAAGGACCAAAGAGAGAAAGAGAGAGAGAGAAGCATGGAATCCAACGGGGGAGGAAGAGAAGAGAGGAATAAGTACAAAGGAATAAGGCGGAGGAAATGGGGGAAGTGGGTGTCGGAGATAAGAGTGCCTGGAACCAGAGACCGGCTCTGGCTCGGCTCCTTCTCCACGGCGGAGGGGGCAGCCATGGCTCATGACGTGGCGTACTTCTGCTTGCACAGACCTTCCTCTGATCTGGAGAGCTGCCTCAACTTCCCTCAGCTACTTTCCCTCCCATCCTTCGCTTCCCTCACTTCCCCTTCCTCCATCCAGAGAGCTGCCTCCGACGCCGGCATGGCCATCGACGCCTCCTTCTCCCTCACCGCCCCTCAGGGCACTGCCCCTTCCCCTGTCGTCGACGAGCCTCTCACCATCTCCGTCTACGATTATGATCTCGACGACCATTCTCCCCTCTGATCTTTTTCTTTTTACCAATTCTTGTGTATCCTCCTTTCTCATGATTCTAGAAGACGACAAAACACAAAAACATCTGTACTACGTTACTTTATGTTGGTGTATATTCGGTTTATACATAGAGGAACGAAGAACATGGAATCAGGTTGTAGAAGAGAATACACGAAGCTTTTGAGAAGACAGAGTCAAAAGAAGAAGAAAACTTCGATTGGCCATTAATAACTTAAAAAGGCTATGGACCATGACTAGACCAAAGACCACTCTTATGTTTATATGGCCATGACATTATATGTGTCACTATCTACGCCAAACGAAAAGTTATTCAAGTCCTACAGTAATTGCATGTGTATGTTCTAGTATAGTACTAAATAAGAAAGAGACACTAAATTTGGAGAACAATTGCCAATTAAAGAGAGAGACTACATATTTCTAAGTTGATAACAATCACAAATCTCTTTCATTTGTCGACACAAGCAAATTGCTACTGAAGGGACTGCATAAAGGGAGCAAGATTTTGAGTGGGAACCCAAATATGCATAAAAAACTGGCCTCACGGTTAGGCTTGTAAAACAAGGCATTTATTCGGTGCATATGTTACATGAATCACATACCCAAGCAACAGAAAGTCATTGCATATAATAAACGGTGTGCTGACGACATAGATGCTCCGAAACAGAAGGATCAAGATGAAAAAGGAAAGTAAATTGGGGGAATGAGTTAATTTTAGTGTTGTGAAGTTGCTGTGTCGGATTTAGACCATAAGGTGGATCACTGGAGACTCGTTCGAAAGACGGTCTTCCTTTTTATTAGGATCCACCCCCATCTTCATCATCGCTATTTATTCTCCTCTTACTCTACATTATCACTATTGTCATTGTCTCCTCTTTTTTCCTTTCTTTTCCTTGAAAGAAGAAGAACTCTGCTGAAGAATGGCAACCCAAGCAGATCATTCACCGGTACGCTTTTCTTCCCTTTGGAATAGGCCTCATCTTTCTGCTCCTTGAGATAAATTTAGTGTCCCCGTAATGATGGTAGAACGAACAAGAAGCAAACATCCCTTGTAAGTTTTTTTTTCTTTTCATATTTGTTGATGACTGCTCAGGGGAACCAGAACAATGGAAGATCAACAACAAATGAGAGGAGGGCAAACTACAACGACTGGTTACCTGTAACGGCCTCGAGGGAGGCCAAGTGGTGGTACTCAGCCTTCCACAATGTCACGGCCATGGTGGGGGCAGGAGTCCTGGGATTGCCTTTTGCCATGTCACAGCTCGGCTGGTATATAACCATATTCCTCTTATAAACATCATACACAGTGTTAAGAAATTGACAGTGATAGGGGTAATGGGCAGGGGGGCAGGACTGGTGGCAATAGTAGTGTCGTGGGCAATAACGTTATATTCGTTGTGGCAACTGGTGGAGCTGCACGAGGCGGTGCCGGGAAAAAGGTTTGACAGATATCCGGAGCTGGGAGAAGAAGCATTTGGGAGGAAATATGGGTACTGGCTGATAATGCCACAACAGATGTTGGTGCAGGTGGCATCTGACATTGTATACAACGTGACAGGAGCCAAATCCCTGAAGAAGACCATCGAACTGCTCTTCCCTCACATTCACCACATCCGTCAGACTTACTACATCATCTTCTTCGCAGCTCTTCAGGTAGTCCTCTCTCAAAGCCCCAACTTCAATTCCCTCAAAGGAGTCTCCCTCCTCGCAGCCATCATGTCCTTCTCCTACTCTATGATCGCTTTCGTCGCCTCCATCGTGAAGGGCACCCACTACCACTCTTCCTCTCACGGTGTCCGCTCTCACACCACTGCTGGCATCGTCTTTGACGCTTTGAACGGCATGGGGACCATAGCTTTCGCTTTTGCAGGACACAGTGTGGTTCTTGAGATCCAAGCCACCATTCCTTCAACTTCCGAGGTTCCTTCCAAGAAGCCCATGTGGAAGGGAGTCATCGTCGCTTATATAATCGTCATCCTCTGCTACCTTTCAGTCGCCATCTCAGGTTTCTGGGCGTTTGGCCATCTTGTCGAAGATGATGTTCTCATCTCACTCCAGAGACCTTCCTGGCTCATAGCTGCTGCTAACTTCATGGTCTTTATCCATGTCATTGGAAGCTATCAGGTAACTTTGAAATTATTTTTTGGAGGTTATCTTTTTCTTTGATTGACCAAGACTGAATTGGACGGAGGGGACAGGTCTTTGCAATGCCAGTGTTCGACCAAATCGAATCATGCCTGGTGAAAAACCTCAACTTCACTCCTTCCACCATGCTTCGTTTTGTAGCCCGCACCATATACGTAGGTAAGCAAGCACTGTTAATGGATGGATGGTTTATGTATTGATCGAGAAATATAAAACTGAGTGGGAGCGTTGGTGCAGCATTGGTGTGTTTTGTAGCGGTGTGCGTTCCCTTCTTCGGAGGGCTGCTGGGGTTTTTCGGAGGCCTCGTCTTCACATCCATATCCTACTTCGTAAGTTGCATTCTAACAGAGTAAAAAAATGCACAAAACAGTAAATATGTATATTAATGTGCAAGTCACACCCAGATGCCTTGCATAATGTGGCTGGTCATGAAGCGGCCTAAACCATGGAGCTTCCACTGGTTGGCATCTTGGGTGAGCATTGTTCCCATGAGTTCCCCCATAAAATCTCAGTCAGACGCCTATTTGCTTATTACTCTCAATCTTCTCAATCACAGATTTCAATCATCGTCGGAGTCTTGATCGCCTTGTTCGCCCCCATTGGAGGAGCAAGACAGATCATCCTTCAAGCCAAAACCTACAAGCTCTTCTCTTAACCCTACACACACTTCAACTATTAGGTTTTGCCTTTTTTTTTTTTCCTTTAGAAAAACATTTATTTATTCAGTTGTAGCTGCTCCAATCAAGAGTGACTTCCGAATTGCCTCTGGATATCCTGGAATGATACAGTAGCAGAACCTCTCCTCTTAGCCTTCTGCTGCGACGGATGTTCTCTCCACCCTGTCATGTAGATCACCTACACAAAAATACTATGTAGTTTAGGCCTCAAAAACTTTTGTGTTATGATCCAGGAACAATAATCTTCAATGTATTCATATGGAAATCTCTTATACAAAAAAAAAAAAAAACAATACAGAAAGGATGTTTTCCTCTCCCTTAAAACAGGACCAGGCTAGAGTCAATCATAATCATGCAAATATTATACACAGACCTGAAAAGTTGCGGGCACTGTACCATCCTCCGTGGCGAACATGGAGTCGTATATTGCTGCTGTAGCAAGAGCAGTTTCGCGCTTCAGGATCTGTTTTTGCAGTCATGTATGGCTAAGAACATACAATACACCTGATAAAAAGGAAAATGATCACAACCAAAAAAAAGGGAGAACAAAAAAAGACTAACCTTGTTTCTCTGGAGAAGGGCATTGGTCTCGCCCATTGCACGGAGATGCTCTATAAGATTCAGTGCTGCATCGAAAGATGTTAAAAAGAAGTAAATTAGATGACATTCCCAAAAGAATAATGTTCGAGCAAACTTGGAATATTTTACCGCTCTTGTATTTAACTACATATTCATCAACATCAACACCGGGCAAAGTGAAACCCGCCCTGGTTAACAGATTTCCAGCGTCCCTAACCTGAAAGAGTACGAATCATGTTCTTCACAGAAGCTTTTGTTATGTTATCTACAAAACACAATCCCAGCCATTGTCAAGCTCAAGCTAGTAAATCAAGTAAAACTCAGCAAGATTCAAAGAACCTGCGCCAAAGGCGACAGACGAGGACTAATGCCACCCTCACGCTCCATGTGAGCCAAAGTGCACGCTATCCGTAACTCCCTAGTAACAGAGTTCATTTTATAAATGACGGTGAGCAATGCAATCTTGGAGAGGCATGTTCAAGATTAGATCTTAATAGGAAGTTAAGAATGCCATACTTTAAGGTTTCTCCGCCAAGAATTGCTGCTAAAAATAGACCATCAGGCTTCAGTGCCAAGTTACACTGCAAAGAACGCATCACAAATTATATGCCAGCAATTATTACCATAAGGATACATTGAATCACCAACAAAAGCAATCAAACAACCTGTATCATGGCTCCTGGAAGATCGTTGGTCCAATGAAGGCCCAAACAACTTATTATCAAATCAACCGAACTTCTCAATCATACACAAAACTAATAAGTCGTTAGGAGAGAGACCCAGGTGGTGACAGTAGAGCGAAAACACCAACTAAATCCGCTTTACTAACCTTTCTTTGACAGGCAAAAACTCTTCATCAGCAACCACAAAAGATGTCTCAACATTGTTATAGGGTGAAGCTTCATGGGCATCTTTACATGATTTAATCATATCGTATGAGGTATCCATCATGACTAGATGTTCGATCCCACCTGTAAGACAAAGGCACCATCATTTGAAGAAATTCAGGAGAACACAGAGATGGGTATAAACTTAGCCAGGCACTTGTCAGGATAGTAAGAAACTCTAACCACGACCGCCTAGAGAACGCTTAACAGCACCAAGAGATCCTCCCAGACACAATGCAGTGGGGAAATTTTTCCTACAATCCTAAAAGAGCCAAAAACACAATGATTTGATTACATTAACCGAAATGGGAAATCAAATATGAACAAAGGGGGAGACTCAGTCAGGGAAGTTGAAAACTTCAGCAGCTATGGTCCTCACTAATTGTATACAAGGGATGAAACATGAAACTCGAGGTATGAGTGAAAGCAGAAAACCTGGAGGCGATCAATCAGATTCTCGGCAACAGCGTCCACAAAGGAGTCGTTTTGGCAAGAGAGCCAAGCAGATCGGTCACGCTGCAGTAACGGAACAAAGGACATACACACATGAATTAATCAGAAAAAAGAAAGACGAGAACTTGAGGCAGAGAAGGGCACTACACATGACAGCGCTTGAGGTCACGATCGAAGATCTTGACCCTGGAGGTATTGTGCTGAAACTCGTCGGCATTGCCGCCGTCCGTACAGAATGAGGAGGAGGGGACGAAGAAATGAGGTGGGTCTCTCGCGTTGAGGCTAAGCAGTCCACCTCGTCCGCACAGGGAATGAATTCGCCGCATATCCTAAGCCGAGCCAGGATCAGTCGTATAGTATTCGGGGTTCTGGGGTTTGGCTCTGAACAAATGGAAATCTGAGGCAGTTGCTTTTGTTCTCCTCTTGTCCCCGGCTTTGTTTTTCTTTTTTTCAATTTCGGCCCCTTCATTCTTAAAAGATGACAAATTTTGCCCATCATCTAATTAGTTTCTAACTCTCTGCGCATGTTTGATTGCATGCTTTCTTTGTAATATCCGGAACCAGAAGTATGTATTCCAATTGAGATTTGGTTATATCACTTTGTAATATCCGGAACCAGAAGTACGTATTCCAAAAAAAAAAATGCTTTATTTGCACAGATCATAACTGAAATGAAAAGCCTCCGGGTGATATAATTGACATGAACTGTGTAGGGGTGTCCAAAACGCAGTTTTGCATCTGGCAAGCATTCCTGAACATCAATCTCGAAGAAATGGTTTAGAGTTGCTCATTGCTGACAACGTATTCATGAGACCATAACGTGTTCTTCTCAAAGGAAGCTCCGAATTTGTCAGAGTGGGAAGTCACCACGTGGAGGAAATGGACGACTTACATCTACAGTGCCGCACTGATGGCAAGTAACAAGGGCCAAGGTTGATAAGGATAACATTTTCACTACTGAGTGTTCTCAAGATTTTTTTATTGAGATGGGAAGGTTGATTGACAATGGTTCACACGGCTGGGAGTCGGGAACTACATTCATTCTGATGGATGCATTCTTCTTCTTTTGCCTAACGCAATGATCAATATAGATTCATCAATTAACAGACTAAAGTGGTATAGCAGCATCTTAGTATTACTCAAAAGCTTCGCATTAAAAGACCAAACACGAAGAAGACTGCAGTTACAGAGAAAGTGAGGCAAGCTGCTGGATGTTGAGAGGAAAAGCCACAGTCTGGTCGCCCGAGAAGGCCTTACGTGCCATGATGACGTTAACCTTCTCCGTTGGATGAAAGGCATCCCAAAACACGTATTGGTCGCGATTCTCGCAAGGCGTCTGTAATGGCAAACACGTTATCTGCCCTCTGTTCCGTCCTATCCCACAGCACCCTCTGTCAACCACCGTGAACCCTGGCAAGCAATAACAACATCCATCAATCAAGAATCCAAACCATATGGACATTACAATAGCTATTCATCCAGCATGTTACCATAGGTCGCTGGGTTAGTGACTATGTCCTCGAACATGTGAGCTATGTCCACGTATGTGAACTTTGAGCCGGGGAGATTGGTGCTGAGATTGGAGATCATGGCCTTGACGTTAGTGTTGAAAGGCAGAACCAGCTGGTTCACTGCCTCAGAGCAACGCCCGTCCGTTCCCTGAGCCAAAATGCTGGGGATGCATCCCATTCTGCCAAGCCCAGCCAGCACGAATTTTCGAGCCCCCAGGTTATACAGATTCTGCGAAAGCAACGGATTCAGAAGTTTGGATAAACGAGATTCCATGAGGGTGGGTTTGGGTTTTACAGTGAGCTGAGTGGTGTACTGCTGAACAAGACGGTGGTGACGTCATGCCTTATGCAACAAAACGCAAAGCCCCACGTTTTGTTCCGCACCACGCGCACGTGAGTTACTGCTCCTCTGTCGACTAGACTTTTCTTTCTTAAATTTTGACGTCGCTTTTGTACTTGTATAATTCACCTCAAATATGTAAATATAATTTATCTGTTATCCCTTTTCTTATATGATAGATAGATATTTCATCAAAAATTTTGGTTTGGCTGTACACTTCATTTATATACATACTGAGCAATGATTACACCTTTTTTGTCACCATAAAACATAATTATAGATTAATTGTTTTGGAAGGGAGCACTTTCTGATTGCACATTTTGGAAGAGAAAAAGGTTGGAAACGTGTGTGTGCAGTGGTTGGATTATGTGGACGATGAATGATGCGGATTTACCCCACTACAAACATCAGGTAGTTGTTGAGATAGTCGTTGCTTCCCATTCCCACAAAGAACAAGCTTCTGGCCACCGACTCTGCCACTTCCACCGCACTTCCCCCTCGGCTAGTTACCTGGTCCAGCGTGCTCTGGAAATTCTTTATCTGCTGGTCGAACGGTATGCGCCCCACCTAATCCCTCCAATAATGGTAAGCTTTTGTTCAGTTTTTTTTTTGTGATAATCTGGAAGTTTCTACGTGACCGGGGAAACCTATGTAAAAGTCTTTCTCCAAACGAGGACTCGAACCAGGTTGGAAAGGAGCTTTGTTTCCTTATTTACCGGTTGAGCCACCCAATCTTGGATAGTTTTTGGTCAGTTCTTGATAAAGAAAATTCATATTTGGAAAGAGGAGGTTGGGCTAATCAAGATGCATGCAATAAGATTCATCATGAGTAGGAACGTACGAAGTTTCTTCCGGTGACATCAAGAATACCAGCGGCGGCAGAGGCATAGTTGACGCCTCGGAGGACTTGATCTCCAGTGGCTTCAGAGAAGGCCGGAATCAGAGGCAGCCCCAGAAGCTCGGCTGCATGCGCATAGATACACATATATACAAGTCCAGAAGCATATGTACTTAAAAAGAGAGAGAGAGAGAGAGACCGAGCTCGTCGACCATGGTGTAGCCGTTGGAGAATCGGCCGGTGGGGCCGCCGCTGAAGTCGATGCCATAAGGGAAATAATTAGCCTTAGCGAAGGAAGGGAGGTTATTGTTATTCCCGTTGTCTATAAGAGAGTCGCCGAACACAAACATGGCTGGCACCTCTCCTTGCTGCTGCGAGGGTGCTTCACTCCCTGCTGCACCCCTTAGGACCATCATGACTGCTGTTATTACGATTAGATTGAATTCCATTCCTGTTTTGGGGGGTTTAATTTTGCATGCAAGTCCCATTTCTTATGCATATAAAGAGGAGGAGGGGTTTGAGGAGTAAATGTGGGTATCCGTCTTCTACCACGCAGTAACTAATCATTGTCACTCCATTGGCCATATTGTTATTTATATTTTTACACACTTTGCTTCTTCCCCATGCATGCGTCCGGCGTGAGCAGAGTCAAATATAGCATTTAAGTCCGCCAGTTGAGGCTCTCCTCATGTCACCTCGATTGCCCTACTATTCTTTATTACAGATGGAACCAACTTGCTTTCCGAAACAACAGGCATCACTCACTGTGTCTCAGCTAAGCGGCTATCTATTAAGATTACCTCTGTACGTATAATGAACTCCATGAAGCTAGGTAGATATTAGATCGAGTCCAAGTGATGGAACACAACAGATTCTTTAGAAAATGGAATTCTATAATTTGCATTCTCTTTTCAATTATGGTGTGATTTTGTTACATAAAACAAAACCATTCAAAAATTTCATTAAACAAGAGCTTGCTTGCGGACCACAATCCAAACAATCAACAACTAACACTAAAAACCCTTTTTCAACTGCCATAAACCATATAACCCAACTCTCAACGCTTCTTAGAGACACCAACAGTCTTTCCACGGCGTCCAGTCGTCTTAGTGTGCTGACCGCGCACACGCAGACCCCAGTAGTGCCTCAGGCCACGGTGGTTTCTGTTACCACACAGTCATTCAACCAACAAAACGTCAGCCTATTGCAGTGTTCTATGCCCTAACCAAATAACATACATTTTATCCATTTCCAAATGCTTTACCTGATCTTCTTGAGGCGCTCAAGGTCATCCCTCAGCTTCATGTCCAGAGCGTTAGAGACAACCTGCGAATATTTCCCATCCTTGTAGTCCTTCTGCCTGTTCAAGAACCAGTCTGGGATCTTAAACTTCCGAGGGTTTGCAACTATCGTCATTAGCAGCTGTTAGTTCTCCCGCCCTGAAAATGAGAGCCAGTTTCAAATCTCAATTCTCACAACATGAGTGATGATGATGACGAGGAAAAGAATAGTCAAGGATCTATACCAGTTCCCCACTCAGGTAGGAACAATGAATGAACAAGTATTACCTAATTTCGATGCAATTATTACATTTGGAGGTGAAGTAACCGGTGGGGAACAACGCATTATTAATACAGACGTGCAAAGAGTGAAGGGAGAAACCTCTTGTTCATGTCAACATCAGCCTTCTTGCAGACAATGCTGGCGAATCTCCTACCAATACCCTTGATGGAGGTCATGGCAAACATTATCTTCTGCTTCCCATCAACGTTGGTGTTGAGCACACGCAAAATGTGCTGAAAATCCTCGTTGGCCACCAGAGACTACACACGAGCATATCCAGATCCATTAATCGCAGCTTCTTATGATACAGAATCTAAAGTATCTGATTCAAGCTATAAGAAGAGACGAATAGATGCAGAGAGGAGCAGCAGATGATGATACGCAAGAAACAGATCGAGACAGGAGAACGGAGACACCAAAATGCAATACTAGAGAGTAATTCGAAGAGTTTATTACCATTTTGGGGTGCGGAAGGAAGAAGCTCTCGGGAGGGGCGGACGATTCTCAGCGAGGAGGAGAACAATTCAAAGCAATAGATTCGTGTTTTAAATCGGCAGCCTCTTAGGGCTGGATGCTGAGGAACCTGGAGTGATAAGGCTCAGCCCATTTTCAAATGGCATAGCTAATCCATTCCAAAGCCCAAATTATAGCTTCATCTTCAACGGTTTACACCCATGTGATCACGCGCTTCTCTCTCCGTATGATCCACGTCCCTCGGCCTTCTCTCCTCCCTTGTTTCAGCGATGGCGGAACCAGGGAAGCCTCCGACGGTTTGACGATCACTCAACCAAGGAGAGAGAGGCAGAGAGAATTATATATTTCTATACTTAGAGAGAGCGAGCTCGAAGGTGCGATACGAGAAGCTATGAACAAGCTCAGGTTCATCGGCTGCCTGCTGCTTTCAGCGGCGATCTGCGTTTTACTGCCACCGATAGGCGCCTCTGTCCGACCAGGTCTGCCCTATGCTTGCTAATATTCTAGTTTAATTTTCTGCTTAAGCTCACAGATATGTAGTTGTAGATTAGCCGTTACTTCCATCATTGATTGCGCATGTGCACGCTACTTTCACCTGTACATGTTCATAAGAAGAGGATAAGTAACTGAGTCCTAAGCTGGTCGGTCAACGTTATCTTTTCGAGACGTCCGTCTTGGGTTTGGTAATGATATAGGTTTGGGTTTTCCCTTCATTCTTGTTGTAATTTTGTTTCTCCCATCGAGCTCCTTTGTTCTCATTCCCTGAACCTCTAAACCCTGGATCTTTCTTTCATCCGGTGCGTTATTTGGCATATTGAAACAGTTTTACTGGGTTTTAATTAGTGATATCCAGTGTTTAATTGGACATTTCTTTGTTGCGTACAGATGATGTCAATTCGAGTTTCCTGGGGATTGCTAGGAACTTATTAGCGGACAAGGGGTCTCGTTCAAGGTAATGGCTTTGGGCTCTAAACGCTGTTACCTGGGGTTTTTTACTGTCTGTATGTAGAATGATAAAAGGGTTTTCCTTTCTTGGTAAAGTGTCAAAACAGCTCAAGGGTACATGACGAATGATGATCTCGAGAAGGCAGTGAAAGAATTTTCCAAGAGATGCAGCAAGGTCTCTAGGTTATACAGGTACTCTGTTGATACACTTGTGCAGAAAAACTGATGTGTTCAGTACCGATGCATTGCCATTATGTTCCACTGTTGAATGTCAGTGGTCTGGGTTTAGTATAAAAGTTTGATGGTAGTGCTGATTTGCGCCTTGTCTTCTCTCTTTGAGGGTTTTCTGGAATGCGCTCTCAGTATTGGAAAGAGAGTTAACGGATTTCCCCTGGTAATGCTTTCAACTGGTCAGCTTTCAACACTCTAAAAGATGTTACGTTAAAAGTAAAACTTGTCTTCTTTTCATATCTTGGCATGAATATAGCTTGAAACTCTTGTTTGTGTTTCATAATATCTGGTAATCACGATGCCTCGATGTGCTTTTTTCTTGCTTTCATTTGTCAGTGGGTCATAGAGATTTCGGACAGACCTGGAGAGGAAGAGGCTGAACCTGCATTTAAGGTTAGCAGTATGTTCTAATCATGAGTGCCTATGCACGTAACCGAAAAGAAATATGTTCATTTTGTTTAACTAGTTGTTTTGAACATATCCAAATTTAATGGCGCTGAACTCCTTCCTGATTTATGATTGGCCTAGCTTTGATCATATCCAAATTTAAATAGTTGGAAAACTGATCTTACAGTACATTGGGAACGTGCATGGAGATGAACCAGTAGGGCGTGAGCTCTTATTACTTCTTGCCAACTGGATTTGTGATAACTATAAGAAGGATCCCTTGGTATGTAATTATTATCTTTTTCTTCCATCAGGTTCTTCTTGTTCTTTCTTCTTTGATTTAAGTCCATTGAATTTCTGTTTTACCATACTTTCCCCCCAAAACCTGAACTGCTTATTCTTGATAGACAACAGAAACCGCTTACTGAAATATGCCATATATTCTGCAGGCTCAGTTGGTTGTTGAAAATGTTCATCTCCATATACTGCCAACAATGAATCCAGATGGCTTTTCACTCAGAAGACGTGGTAATGCGAACAATGTTGACCTGAATCGTGATTTCCCTGATCAGGTGACCGTGTCGATCAGTGTTTTTTTACATTTATAATGGTCTTTTATTCCAAGCTTTGAGTCGTGTGTTGCGATTTGCTGGTCTGAATCCTGATGGTTTTGCTTACACCGCAATTGAGTTTAGTCTGCTTAACTCTCATCTCCTGCCTGTACAATGATATAATGTTGCAGTTCTTTTCCCTAAATGAGGATGTGGATTCGCGGCAACCTGAGACTAGGGCAATTATGAATTGGGTGAGAGACATACACTTCACAGCATCAGCTAGTTTGCATGGGGTAACTTCATTGGCCTTTTTGTTATGCATCTAACAATTTATCCTATCCCAAATGTATCCTATTTTGAGTGTTTGCTGTCAGGTATCTCCGAAGAGATTTAATTAACATTAAATAGTAATCATGATTTGACACAATTAAAGTCGTCCTTAAACCCTTTTGTTTGTTACAGGGGGCGCTGGTTGCCAATTATCCATGGGATGGCACAGAGGACAAGAGGTCTGTTCTGTCTCTTTTTTTTTTTTGGGTGTTCTTTTGTCCTCATAGTCATCTAGTCATACTTTCCCTCCATTTTCAGGAGATACTACTACCCATGTCCTGATGATGAGACATTCCGGTTCTTGGCACGCACTTATAGCCAGTCTCACCATAATATGTCTTTGAGCAAGGAATTTGAGGAAGGAATCACAAATGGAGCATCGTGGTATGCATCCTAAATCAGTTTGTGATCTTCTACGTTCTATGCACTGCTTTAAGAAGAACGCTCTGCAGGTACCCTATATATGGTGGTATGCAGGATTGGAATTACATACATGGAGGATGCTTTGAATTGACTCTGGAAATCAGTGACGACAAGTGGCCTAGAGCCTCGGAGGTCAAATCTTGTTGTCTGGAGTGTTTATTGTTTCTCTTTTCCTGGTGGTTGGCTGATAGAGTCCTTTTCTTTTATGCAGCTTCCCACCATTTGGGAGTACAACAGGATGAGCATGCTGAATCTTGTTGCAAGTCTCGTGAAGGTATGCCTTCTTAAGTTTTGCTTCAAAGTCATGCTAAAACTGATGGCCCATGTTTGTCGAACTCCTAGGATTCCAATATGTAAACAAAGAGGAAAGTAGAATTTATTTGTATTCACAATGCAGAAATACACCATTAGGTTGAGCCCCAGTAGATATATTTCTGTTGAAAGAAGGTTGCATGGAACAATATTTCTGCATAATTCGTAGACTTTTTACTTTAGACAGGAGTTCATGGCCGGATATTTTCATTAGACCAAGGAAGACCACTGCCTGGTCTTGTCTTGGTGAAAGGAGTCAACCATACGGTAAACATAGTCACATTAGCTTTCTCTGTTAATGAAATGTCATTGTTCAGAAAAGATGTTGAGCCATTGTTAGGTCTATGTGTAATCCTGAATTGACATTCAGTAAAATGGTTATCCAGGTTAAAGCCAGTCGTGTGTTTGCAGACTACCACCGTTTGCTTGCACCTGGACAGAAATACGAAGGTTTGTGATGCTTTCAACACTTACTTAAAATGACAAGTTTGGTTATGTTATATAATACCACATGGACAGATACAAAAAGGATGAGTTCTACCAGTGGTTTTCAGTCATTGGTTAAGGCCTTTGTATGGATCGAGTTCATCTCAGTTTGATATTGAAGTAAAAAAAAAAACTCCATGCTAAGTAGACATCCACTTCCGTATCATGGATAAAATTTTCATCTTTAAGAGCTAACAGAAAGGACCATTAACAAAAAATTGCCAACCCAACAATTGCGTGGTGGGGCTGGAATACATACGGATTGTCTCAACAGAGTCTCAACATCTTGAATCCTTATTGTTCTATCCCACGCCATAATGATGATGGTGTTGTCTCAACTGATATGCAGTGACAGCCTTGGCACCCGGCTACAAACCTAAGGCGACAAGTATTTGGTTAAGTGAAGAAGCAGTGACTGCAGATTTCATTCTGACACCAGAAGAAGCAATTTCCAGAGGTTATCAACTGAGAAGCATCTGCGAGTGTGGTTGCAAAAGAAATGGGAGGATACTTTTATCCAACTTATTTGGGGATACAAATGCAGGAATCACATTTGCTCTGCTCTTCGTGGTAGTGTTCCTCTGCTTTTTGTTGCAGAGAAGGGTGAGATCTAATCTCTCCAAGCAAAGACAATCCTCCTCCAGAAGGTCGGTTACTGTCTCTGTCTGAAGACACCCTCAACTCTCGTGTATTTCATGTGTACATGTTTCTCATTCATCACCACCATGGACCGCCATGTTCAGAACCCAGTAGAAAGGAATCGCTCATCTCTTTTCCCTTTTGTTGATTTTTCAACTAAATATACCTTTTTAGTCCGACTCGTGTGTTTTTTTAGTCTATTTGAGTCAGATGTGAGTTTGGTGGACCCTTAAAATCTCACAATTCATGGACATTAAAAGATTGAAACTTTTAAAAAAAAAAAAGTGGTATGACATTTAGAAAGATCCAGATTGATTGTAAACAATACAAATACGAGCGAATTCAAAACATGAGATTGAGCATTATCCGCACTGTTTTAATCAATATATATGTATAGGTATATTTGGGAAAACGTGTACAATTACACGCATCAACATGTTAGGTTTGATGGACCAACTTGTCATTACAGTGTCCAATATCAATCCGAAACTACTGTTTTTTTTCGAGAACTTATTTTGTTTTCAATGTACTTGATTTTTTTTCTGGTTGTAAGATTTATGGCACAAACCCCATTTTCAACGTAAAAGACGATCTGGAAGAAACTTCATTCGCCGGTGAAGATTGGGTGAGTGAGTGAGACATGTCTGATCCCTCGGCGGTCCGTTGACTTTGACTTTGAATTGTCTCCAAAACGCCAACTACTCCAACATCCATTGACTTTGTGGAGATTGGCCCCTCAAGTTATAACTCCGTCGCAGAAATCGCTTAAACGCCGTCAACTCGGCCCAAAAAAAACGCCTTTTATATACATACACAGGCAATCTCTCTCTGTATTTTCCAAAACACACAAGTCGTATAATTTTTGTTTCCATATCGGCGAGAGATTCCAAGATTTTTGGGGGGTGGGTCCTGCTTTGGAGAATCCCACACATTCTTTATATGTCTGGATCCTCGCCTTTTCGGTTTCCTTGAATCTCTGAACTGCATTATCTTTTTTTCACGGACCTAAAAGATAAAGATGGAGAGCGTGATGGGGAGTGGAGCTTGTTGGTGGGAGGAGATGAAAAGAGTTCTGAGGGGGGTGGGAAAGGAGTGGGGAGACGTGGTGGATGATATGGAGTGCGTGGAGGTGGTTCCCCTCAAGGGAGCGATGACCAATCAGATTTTCCAGATCAACTGGCCCACCATCAACGGCGATCTTCACCGGAGAGTGCTGGTTCGCATCTACGGAGAGGGCGTCGACGTCTTCTTCAACAGAGAAGACGAGATCAGGACCTTCGAGTGCATGTCTCGCCTTGGCCATGGACCCAGGCTCCTCGGCCGCTTCTCCCATGGCCGTCTCGAGGAATTCATCCACGCCAGGGTACGCTTTCTGAGCTGTGATCTTGTTTTTTTGGTCATTTCGTAGTCAGAAAGAAACAGGGCGCTTACTGTATCCGATCATCAATCAGACTCTTTCTGCGGAAGATCTCCGTAAACCAGACATATCAGCACTCATCGCGGCCAAACTGAGAGAGTTCCACCAGCTGGACATGCCCGGTCCACGTCACGTTCATCTGTGGGACAGACTCAGGCGGTGGGTGAAAGAGGCCAAGAGGTTGTGTTCGCCGGAAGAGGCTGAGGAGTTTCGGTTGGATGGTCTTGAAGAAGAAATATGTGCGTTGGAGCAGAGGCTGACATGTTCTGGCCATGAGATCGGCTTCTGTCACAACGATCTTCAGTACGGCAACATCATGATTGACGAGGAAACCAATGCCATCACTATCATTGTAATATCCCTCACCATTACTTATTCATCCACTCTGCTTCATGATCAAGAAAAATCACATTTTTTTCCCTCTAACGCCAGGATTACGAGTACGGGAGTTTCAACCCAGTTGCTTATGACATTGCAAACCACTTCTGTGAAATGGCAGCAAATTACCATTCGGACACGCCTCATATCTTGGACTACTCTCTGTATCCAGGTCTCCACTATATACAAATACCTCCTTTCATATTTCATCACATTTTTCTGGTGTAAGACTGTAAATGGCGTGCAAACAGGAGAAGAGGAACGCAAAAGGTTCGTCAGCACGTACCTGGGCTCCTCAGGTCTGTCACCCCCCTTCCCCTTTTTCTTTCCCATGAATGATGAAACAGACCCCCTTCATGGTTTGCCAACGTTGTTTGTTTCAGACAAGAGAACAAGAGAGGAAGAAGTGGAGAGAATCTTGAAAGATGCAGAGAGTTACACTTTGGCAAACCATATCTTCTGGGGCTTATGGGGAATCATTTCGGTCAGTTCTCGCTCTCGTTTCATGTGGAAATAAGAGTGTTGGAAGTGCTTCTACTGTTCTACAAGGCTAACAGTGAGTAGTTTGCGTGAGCAGGGGATAGTGAACAAAATTGAGTTCGATTATATGGAGTACGCAAGGCAGAGGTTTGCTCAGTACTGGCTCAGGAAGCCCTCCCTCCTCCTGCTTGATGTCCATTCACCTTGATCCATCTCCCCCAACACAGTTGTATACTCTATTTTTTTTTTTTAAAAAAAAAAAAGCATAGTCAGCTATGTGAATCTAAGCCTTTTTGTAGTCTTTTACAACTTTTTTTTTGTGTACAAAAAAAAAACATTTTAAGGCCATAATTTACTCAGGACAGGACTTGGGCGAATGAAGCCAATGTGCGTCTCCCCGTTGTTGTAACTTTAGCTCCGCCTTTTTCAGGCAGTGAATAATGCAAAGGATTTGTGCGGAGAGCAAAAGCTTATGTGAACTGTTCGGCCTTTGGCTACCATTAGAATTGAGGAAAACACAAACAGTCTCACGTTTTTCATTGTATCCACTATCCATTGAAGGGCGCGTCATTATTTAGACCAAATGCAATGTTTTCATCATATCCTACGCACAAGAGAAATTACAAATGTATTGCTCTGAACAAAAATACTCTTTGGGGTGACAACGGGTTTCGGTTTGAGATGAAACAGAATCAGTTGTAACATTCAGGCTTCAACACTCCGATGTAAGATAAGTTCCGGTACTGTTCTGCAAAGTCCATCCCGTAGCCCACTACGAAGTAATCTGGACACTGCACAGATACCACACACTCACATTCAATAATGTAAAACAACCAGAACTCGACATCATATGTATTCTCAACTTGGTCCTTTGGGAGCGAGCTGCTCAGGGTGAAGCATAGTTAACAGGGCAAACCCCATACCATAAAGACCCAAAAGAAGATGCTGGGGATGGCAAATTGAAAGCCTCTATCTAGTGTTCCAAGCATCTGCTAAACCAAAAATTGCCAAAACACAAAACTCAAGAGACAGGGGGGCTTACTTCAAATCCTCTGTAGAATTTGCCGTTTCCAACTAGCTTGAAATGGACTTTTCTCCGTGAGGGCTTGTCAAGGAAAGCACACACTGACACCGAGGACGCCCCTTTTGCTTTCAAGTGACTGATCAAGCAAGAGAGTGTGTTTCCGGTGTCTACAATGTCCTCCACCTTATATAGGAAGCAGATTCAGTGAAACGATTGAGAGAGGTCTTCTATATATCCATCACATGGACTAGGATACCAAGCTTAAACTCCACGGTGAACTTAAGCTGATGTCCAGGGGCTATAATCTCAAGCTACATACGGGAAATTTTATTTGAAATGCGCACTTTCATTCAATTCGTATGCATCTAAATACTCAAGTGCCCACAAAAAAAAAAAAAGCATCCAGATTTATCTGCGTATGTATGCAATTCTAAGTCTTACAGTCACAGTATGTGTGCTCACGCGTATATATAGGGAGAGGGAGAGAGAGAGACCAAGATAACGTGTTTGTTGGCGACGTCGAGCTTCAAGTCGAAAGAGAGAGAAGGGGACCCACTGGAGACGGTAGAAAGGCCGTAGGAGTCAGATCTGATGAAATCGATGGAGATGGGGAGGTCGATTTGGCGGACGAGGTCGGCCAGGAAGAGGAAGGCGCCGGTGGCCACACCGATGAGGATGGGAGCCTCAACCTCACCGGGGAAATCGGCGGAGATCTCGGCGGCCAGCTGACCCACGCGCTCTGCGATCTCTCCGGCGGAGAATAAGACCTTCTCTATGTGCTTCTGCAGCGACATCGTCCCACACATGATTAGGGTTTTAGGAACCAGATTTATAAAAGCAGGAATCTGGCAATCTTTTTTTTTATTCTCAAAGGTGCACTAACTTGTAGGATAATAAATTAGCAAAGTGGCCAACACAGAGGAACCTGATTACAGGATATATGGATTTATACCGAATAAAAAATAAGCAAGGTTGAATTCGCGAGATACAAGAGTGAGGAGCTGGCCATTGGGTGGAAGAAGAAACCCATCTTCTCATCAATATAACTTAACAAACCGATCGATTGAAACAAAAATTGGTCCGACAACAGTCTTTGGATAAAAAGAAAAGAAAGCCAAGCTAATTAACGAGGGTCCTAGAGAAGAGAATGAAATGGTTTTTCAGTCGGTGGTGGAAAAACCCAAGTGGTCGTCAGGAGGGGAGGTGGGGTGCACAGAGGAGAGCCTGAGGACGTCCATAGCCTCTGCTACCTTGGACTTGAGAGCCTCCGGAGACTCGAGGAGGTGGAGAATCTCGGCTTGGTCCATCTCCAGCAGCATTCCCGTCACTTTCGCCGCATTTCCAGGCCTCTGCCTCTCCACCAATGGGTACAGCTGCTCCCCCAGCATCTGCACACGCACTTTTTATTATATGCAATCAGCAAAAAGGGTTCATGACTCATGAGAAGCAACGAACCCTGATACGATCATTGGGGCTGGCAGAAGCCAAGGCGGTGGTGAGCTTGGAGATGGGGGAGGCGTCCAAGGGTAAAGCCATCATGCCCTGCTGCTGCCCACCAACTGAGGGTGGCGGCCCCATGTACCTTGAGTTCCTTTGGAGAAGCTGCCATACATTTATATTTATATTCAGTCCAGCATCCTCCACTCCAGTGTTGTACGTCGAGAGGTCATAAAATAAAATACCTGGTGACGAGGATGGAGGTGGGGCGGGATGGAATGCCTGAAGGTGAAGCGAGGGACATGCTGGGGCTGGGGCTGGGGCTGGGGCTGGGGCTGGGGATGGCGCTGGATAGGGTAGGGGACGATGAAGTTGGGTCCCCCAGCAGCGGCAGGTCTGACACCCTGCATGAACTGAGCCTGGAATGGGCTGTACTGCTGGGCCCCTCCCCCTCCTATCAACACCTGCTGCTGTGGCCCTCCTCCTCCATGATACCCTGCCGGCAGCTGCCCTGGTGTTCTTATCTGCGAAAACACAGCCTGGTGATGACACCAAACATCACATCACATCAACACTACTCGTATGAATATCATCAAGACAGTAGAAAATCGAACGAGAGCACGTTTGATTACCTGCAGATGAGCTCTTCTGTCATCCCTGCGTTGCGCAACAGCTATGTAAAGAGGTTTTCTTCCTATCATCTTCCCATTCATCTCCTTCATCTGCAATTTATTTTTCATCTTTATGTACACACTCCCATTAATAGATTTTTATATTTACAAAAGAAATATCTACTTACAGCTCTTGAAGCTTCCTCGGGGGTGGAAAAGGCAACAAAACCAAAGCCTTTGCTCACTCCTTGTTGATTAACCATCACCTATTTTTTTTTTTTTTTTTTTAACAAAATGTTACATAACCCAACAAAAAACACATGCCAATAAATTCACAATATATAATATATAACATGCAAAACGTCATGACCTTGCATGAGGTGACAGTTCCAAACTCAGAGAACATCTCCTTGAGCTTCTCATCGTCAACATTGTCATCGAGATTTTTCAGGTATAGGTTAGATCCTTGAGATTTCTCGCACCTGTTTATCCTCTCCTGTTCAAACTTAGCCTTTAATTCAGACTCCCTCTCTGCCTTTTTCTGTGCCCTCCCCACGTACAGCATATCCTCTCCCAGAGAGATACCATTCATCTTTTCCACCGCCGTGGCTGCTGATTCCGGGCTTTCAAAATTCACAAACCCGAAACATCTTGAATTACCGCTCTGATCCTTCATCACAATGGCGCTGGAGATTGCTCCAAACTTGCTGAAAGCCTTCCTGAGCTCGTTGTCCGTTATCTCTCTTGGCAAATTCTTCACGTAGACGTTTGTGAAGCGTGGAGGCGAGGTGCTCGTCGAATGGTTGCGCTCCTGACTTCTGATGAAGTGGCCGACATACACTTGTTTGTCATTCATCAGCATTCCGTTCAACTTATCAATTGCGGCCTGAGCTGCGTCTTCCTTCTCGAACTGGACGAATCCGTACCCCTTGGACCTCCCGGCACTGTCGAATGCCACTTTGCATGAGAGTATTGTCCCGAAGCTCAAGAAGGTTTCGAATAGGGCCTTGTTATCAATCGAGGCGTCGAGGTTCTTAATGAAAACATTGCCTTTGCCGCTCAATCGCGTGCTCGGGTCACGGTTCGATAGCATGATCCGAATGGGTTTGTCGTTGACGAGAGAGTAGTTCAAGACGTTCATGGCGTGCACGGCTGCACCCCCGACAAAATCAAGCCAAATTATATCTCTGATTTATTTATATAGTTAATAGGATAAATAAACTGCTGTACTCACCATCGATAGGGTTGCTGAAATTGACGTAAGCGTAACCAAGAGATCGCCGGTACTGATCGCGGCAAACCCTAATCGACGCCACGTTCGCAACTTGCTTGAACAGGTCATAAAGATGACTCTCGTGCACAGTTGGGTCCAGATCTCCCACGTACAGCGATGAGTTCGGGTGCGCCTGCAACGCCTCCGCTTCCGCAGACGTCGGGCTCTGAACAGGATCAACCATCGCCGCCGGCGCAACTCCCGTCGCAACAGCAGCAGCCATCACGCTGTACGGACGACCGGGAGATTCCTCTACGCCGTCGCGCGAGAGATAGAAGATCCGAGAAAAAGCTAGGGTTTTTAGTTTCGCAGATTTTATTTGAATTTTTTTTCTGTATTTTGATTTTTTTTTTCCTTTTTTGGTTTCTCCGATAGTAGTGAAGAGAGGTGGGCGAAGCGTCTGTAGTTGGGTATTTATAAGTTAGGCAGACAACGTGTCCGTCACCGTCACCAAGATTTCGCACGTGTGGATTTTTATTGACCGAGTTAAATATGGAACCTGTCAGGTGGGCCCATAGGCGTTCTGAAAGTTGGCTTTAATTAGGACACGTGTCCCCGTTAAAAACGTGATCTAACCTTCCGTTGGATCAGTTCAGAATTCCATCTCTGATAAGATCAAATCTCTAAATTGATCTCCTAATCCTCCGTTCCCGGTGCTTTTTTGTACGGACAAAGTCTTCGTCCCGTACAACTAAAAACTCAGCGCGTAAAATATGGGGAACATAGTGCAAAAGTGGACAAGTTTAGCTGATTTAAGAGTTCTGATGAACCTTTAAAAAAAAAAAAAAGAGAAGTAGAAATTCAATATCGAATATTAGTTATTATTATTATACATTACAATTTGTAGGTACAGTTTACATAGTCTTGGCTTTAAAAGAAGTGGATTTGATTCCAAAATAAAAGATGCATTTTATTGTTACAGATTGTTTCAATCTAGATTCTTATCAATATTTTCTCATAAAAGGCCTGGATAATAATATTGTTATTTACAGTTTACATATACGGCTTTTAAATTTAAAGGTGTAGATTTGTTTCCCAAATAAAAGATGGATTTTTTATTACAATTTGTGTCAAGATTTTCCTCATAAAAAAATTTGATGAAGGAGAATCTAGATTTTCCAAAATTATAAAGAGATTTGATTAGTGTGATTCATATTTTGTTTAAGTTTATCCATCTATTTCCGATAGGAATTAAGAATCTTAATGAGAATAAAATATATTGTATATTAAAAACTCATTCAATCATTCAAAGAGTTTGAATTTATAGTATTGTTTTCTCCCACTATAATTCATATAATAAGTAATAGATAGATAGAACAGAAAAAAAATTAATATTTAAATTGTATAGAAATTAAAACTTTTCATAATTTTCAATATCCTTCTTTTAAAAAAAAATGCTCACTGGAGTATTAACAAAACGCGAAAACAAATAAAAAGGATACAGTAATGGAGATGAGACGTAAAACGGCAGCCATTGGGTTCCTGCTTCAACCTTAGTCAGCGTGCTTGCCACGTATTACAAGAAAAACAAAACAAAACAAAAGGAGAGACGTGATCTTTGATGTAAAGAGTTCTCGTGTCCGATGATTGGTCTCTCTCACACATCAAACACACTGACTAAGAGAATTCTACATTCGGAGACATTGCATAAAACATATCTCTTGTGGGCATGAGTTGAAGCAAAAAAAAAAAAAAAAAGCAAGTGTAGTTCCTTGGTCCCACCTCTCACCATCAGAGGAAGATGGATGGATACCCAAAAGATTAGAGTCAGCAGGCACACCCTCCTCCTTGCCCAGTCTCTGATACAGCCTCTGGAATCCCTTCAAAATATCTGCAAATACCATTCCATATTTAGCAACTTAGATTCCATCTACATGTCCATGGATCATATGTTGCAAGTCACTTACATATCCTGCTCACGCTCTTTAGCCAAGGCAAGCTTTGCTATGCTCAAGAATCCAGAATCCACGTTATAATCTTCTTTAGCTGACGTCTCAAAATAGGGCATGCGTCCTTTTGCAGCACACCACTCCCTGGCTTTTTTCTCAGAGACCTTTTCACATTGTATCAAGATCAAGAATCAATCGGTTATTATGAAAAGCACATTTTAGAGTTTCTGCTTGCAAATTTTCAGCCACTGAACGAACAGACATCTTCTTTGTTAGCTAATCAATCAAAGAAAATCACAGCCTCGAATCCATCAGAGCAAAACACGCTTCCACATATGGTCTTACTTTCACGATGATCTAACAGGGACACACTACCACAACTTACCACTCTACTGTTTCCTCCGTCAATGTCAATCTTGTTACCAAGCAATATAAAGGGGAATGCTTCCGGATCCGGTGGATTAGCCTGTTGAAATGACAAAGTCACCAAAGGATGAAAGGGAGGACCAAAAAAAAAAAAAAAGGAAAGGTGCACAAGTCACAAAAGCTACAAGAACCTGCTTAAGAAACTCCTCGTGCCAATTGTCAAGAGAATCGAAGGACTTTATGAAATTGACATCGTAAACAAGCACACAGCAATCTGCACCTCTATAGAAGGCAACGCCCAGACTCTGAAACCTCTCTTGCCCAGCCGTGTCCCATATCTACAGCACATAGACCAGGTTCAGTTTGGTAATAGGATCGAAAATAAAAAAGATTGATGAGATGTTTCGAAACCCACTTGCAACGTGACCAGCCTGTCGTCGATCTGAAGCTCCTTGGTGACGAAATCTGCACCGATGGTGGCTTTGTACTGTTGACTGAACTTGTTATTCACATATCTAGATTACGGCTAAGGTTGCGTGCACTAGTATTCCAGACAAACAAATCCCAAAGAACATTTCGAAAACACCAAGTAAGAACAAGCTAAGAGAATATGGTGAGGATACCGATTCATCAAAGATGTCTTGCCCACGCTGAGGAATTTGGGGGGAAAGCAGCAAATTTTCCAAACAAGCATGAAGCATGAGACAACACGTTTGACAAATCAAGGCGTTGTTTGGGACAATCCATCCAAAGATAGTAACGAATCAGATAAGTAGATAGACGATTAATGAACATACCCGCTGTCGCCTAGAACGATGACCTTGAGCAGAGTTCGCCTTCGCATCGACATGTCTGAATCCGAAACTTCAAAAGGAAAGAAAGCTCCCTAACGTTTGTCTTCAGATTAGAAGGCAAGCAGAGAGAGGGAGGCGCCAATGTCGATCTCTGAGAAGCAAGACTTTTTGAAAAAGGAAAAGGCGAGAGAAATTGGAAGAAAAATGAAAAGGGGAATTGGGTGGTGGGCTGAGGGGGAGACTCGTGTGGGTTGCTCAGCTTTTGGGACACGACAAGCTTTGGTCCCGTTTTCCGACTCTGAAATCATTCATTAGAGTCGACCCCCGTTTCCCTTTTCTGGTTAGGAAAATGTATGTATTCCTAGTCACTTTTTTACAAATATATATACATATATGTATGTATACACACAATCACCTTGAATATTTTATATAATCTTTTCGAAAATAATATAAAGCAGAAGGGATCACAAGAATTGTCTCATTTTTTTCCCCTACGGAACAGAAGTCTTGATTTCATTCAGACGAAGAGGAAAGGGCAAACCATTAACCCATTGGGTTGGGTAACATTTGGAGTTGGATTCTCATTTTGAGACGTCTTGGTGGATCACAATTCACAACTGTACACCTTTTCTTTTCATCTATCATATCACAGGGAGTGCATAAGAAAAAAGCAGCGAATGAGAATTACATCCCTTTCCCCACCAATACAGCATTGCAATAAAAAAGAAATAGAAATAAAGAAAGTATAGATTTCAACAGATGCAGATAATGCTGCCCTCTCATTGTCCTGAAGACAGCATTCCACTTATCAGACTCGATCAAATCCGGAAACGGTTCTTCGACTAAAGAAGAGACGCTGGATCAAGACCACAAGACATACATTCATATGGTTAAAATCAGCAAAGAAAGGAGAGTTGTCATCTCCATAACGTTACATTACCAGCCGTACTTCCTGAGGAATTCTCTGGTTCTCTTCCTTGCTCGTGTGAAAACGATCACCATGCAAGCTAGCACCCACGGCGGAAAATTTCCCTTTGAGACATTTTTCTTTATCCACTCAGGAGGGTCCTTCACTAAAAACGTTATCAAGAGGGTGATAACCGCAACCCCAAGGATGATTCTTGTGATGGGTTGGAGAAGTGAATCCTGAAAACGATAAGACTGAGAAAATTAGACAGTGCCAAGTGAAAACACCTACCGTTTCCATCAGATATATATAGCCATACCATTTTTGATACATCAAGATGAATACATGTAATCTCAGGGACATAAGCCAAACAAAACCATAAACAGCACAAGACAACGAGATCAGAAAGGCTAAGATTATTATATCCCATATTCAATAACCTGAATTTTGAAGATAGCATTCCAGGAAAATTTAGCAAGGAAGAAAAAGGTACATGGAAAATCACACAACTCCACAGTACATATCACTGTAGAGCACACAACTCAAAAAGGTATAGCAGTTCACTAAAAGACCGCTGTAGTTATTCATACTATAAGATTTGCACCCTACATCATGATCTGCTAGGCTCCAGACAACACACACGTTCTAAACTATGTTAATTGACAGAGAACAGGAAAACCAATGTCATTCACGACACAGCCCAACGCCCTCCTTTCAATCGGACGGCACCAATGCATGCAATCCATCAACAGGGCATTCATTGAAGAAAAGAAAAAAAATCCTAAGCGATGGCTTTAAGGCACCGAATGAAGCATGGGTCGACGTCCTACAGATGGTATGAAAAACAGAATCTAAACTACCAGGATAAGAACTGATATCGAACAACCAGCATTCGAAGTAATTAAGTAGCTTCCGTTCATCCTTACACTGATTGCAAGTTCATCGATGTCGGAATAGACAAAATTCTAAGTAATACCCGAGAATTGAATCTGATCGAGGGGATAATAGACAACCCAAAATAGGAAAACATCTAATTTCAATTCTATTCTCCCCGAATTCGAAACTTGACGATTCCAAATAATTCATGAAAGCGGGAAGAAGAGAAAGATTACTTTGGGTTCTCCGTCGATGTAAATGACGGCACCATCCTTGTAGGGGAGCATAGAGCGGCCGTTCCTCGGATGGAATCGGATCGGGGCACCGCGACCGGATTCAACGTTGAAGGCGTAGATGGATTTGAAGCCATACTTGTCGAGGATGGTTCGGACCTCGAGCTGGTCCTGCTCCCAACCACCGAGATTCGACTTGAACACTTCGATCGGGCCCTTGCCGCACCGATACAGATGGATCTCCACCTCCGGCACCTTCGTCCTCACGCTCCGCGGTCTCTGTTCCGAGTCGGGCTGAGACTCGTCCAGCAGCGGAGTCGTCTCTTCAATCTCACTCGCCTCACTCTCCGGCATCGTTTGAAAAAATTCGCGGTTCCCTCGGATCGCTCGTCGGCGGGTCCACCGGTTCGCAGATGTCGCCAGAGCGAATTATTCCGCCAACGACCGGCGCTGTAGGGATATGTAAAATGGGCTGATAAAGTTTGGGCCAGGCCTTGTATGATGACTGGGAAATGGAGCTGTAAGCCCACATTTACGTTATTGGGCGGTTGTAGTAGAAATAAATAAATAATTAATAATAACAATAATAAACCACCGAGAAATCAATTTTCCCATAAATCATCGCCGGTCGTCCTCCTTGTTTGTTGTTTCCTTTGGCCGGCGAGAAAAATGGAGGCGGCGATGGGACTACTCAGAAGAATGCCGCCGAAACACTCGGAGACAGCTCTATCCGCTCTCCTCAGCCTCCTTCCTCACCATTCCTCTGATCTACTCTCTCAAGTCGATCTCCCTCTCCAGGTCTCTCCGTCTCCCCATTTTCGCATATTCTGTATTCATGCTTGCTCTTTTATCGAGAATTTGAATGCGATGCTTCTCTCCTTCTTTGCCTCTTGTTCCTCTTATTCTATATTGTTCTGATTTCGGTGTGGATCCACGAATGCCTTCCGTCAGGACCATGATCTGGTTTAGGTTGGTCGATTGTCTCTGGAATCTGAATGTTGTGCACAATTGTTTCGCCGTATACCGAGTATCAGAGAAGATTATTTGTATGGACTCTAAGGATCCGTTGGACATTGTTTACTGTTAACCCTTGGATCAGTAATTGCGTAGTTCATGATTTCAGACGTCCTTCGGCTTCTCAAATACTCCCAGTGTCATCTGTGTAGTTTGGTAGTCCCTTTTTCATGTGTTAACTAGTACAAGTTGACTGTAATCTGTGATAACTCGTTTTGTCTGAGATTAGCTTTCCACGAACTATGTGCTGCAACAGGTCTTACCCGATAGTGAATGTAGGAAGGAGTTCATCTTGTGCGAATATAACAGAGATGCCGATTCTTACAGGTATTCTTTAAATCTTTCTCTCAACGTAGAAAGAATAATACTCATTTCCTACATTTTCCATTTATCTTTACAGTAAATTTTATTCCTGAATGATACGGTTCTAGTTCCAAATCTTTGCATATCTAAACTAAGGAGAGCTTTGCTTTGGTACCTCGAATTCATCAAGAAGAATTGAGTTTGTTGCTCTAGGGCATTAGCTGTAAGATTGTAATATGTTGATTGCATCATCACCATGGTTTTGTCTACTCAGTCATATTGCTGGAGTCTAGGACTTAAACATCCATTCATTTTCACACCGCAGGAGACCAGGGCTTAAAAATCCATTCAGATTTCTCATATGCAGATTTATATGATATTCTTATCGTTTTGCAGATCTCCTTGGTCAAATAAATACCATCCCCCAATAGAAGATGCCCTTTACCCATCTTCAGAATTAAGAAAGCTTGAAGTTGAAGCCAATGAAATCTTTGCAATCTACCTTGACCAGTGAGGTTCTTTACCTACCTCATCTTGAGTTTGAGAATTTTATGTTGCACTAAAGTAAAAAAGGGATTCTATACACAAATAATTTTTACATCAATGTCGAGTAAGCATGTTTTAAAAATAATGGAATGATGATTTCTGTTATCAGCTGATCTTATGGATCTACAGAAGGCATTTGCTCTCTCAATTTCTGGAGATATTTTTCTACATTTTGATGTTTAAGTACATTTCTACATTTTGATTCTGCTAAACATGTATCAAATTGATAGAACTCACTCATCAATAATGGGCGCAACTAAGTCTCAAAGTCCATGGGTAGAACTCACCCCAAAAGCTAGCTTGTTGGGGGAGGGTGTCCATGGTCTTATATTGACTCAATTATTCCCACATATTTCTGACGTGGGACTCTAACAATACATCCCCCTTTAGACAGCGACGACCACGGCGCTGGCGGCTTCTCGGTTGCTAGCAGCTTTGCACCCTTTGTGTTCCTCTCCCGACCGTTCCTCTCTCGCCGCGTCGTCCGCATGTCCGAGGATCGGTTGGCTCTGATACCAATTTGATAGAACCCACCCATCAATAGTGGGCCCAACTAAGTCTCAAAGCCCATGGGTAGAATTCACCCCAAAAGCTAGTTTTTGGGGTGGAGTTAGGGTCTAAATTGTATCAATTGGTATCAGAGTCCGGTTCTGATACCATATTTCCGATGTGGGACTCTAACACACATGTGGTGTTTAATCTCTATGATGTTGGCTACGGTTCTCAGAATATTTCACTAATAATAATTTTGATATCTGATTGATCTTGCTTCTGAGACAAAGTAGGGGACTGAGATTAGTGATATGCTGGAGAACATTTTACTTTAGTTTGATTAAAGATTATTTTTCCAGGTATTATGAAGGTGGTATATCTTCTGTCTACATGTGGGAGGATGATAATGAAGGCTTTGTAGCATGCTTCCTTATTAAGAAAGGTACACACACTTTCCTTAAGCTCAATCGCCAAAAGGTTAGTCAGTAAAAGAAAAGAATTCATGAGAATTATTCCGTTTTCCATTTCTCGAAGATGGGTCAAAGTCAGGTCACGGTCGGAGGGGATACTTGGAGGAAGGAGCATGGGATGCTGTACATGTTATACAGGTGACTCTTTTAACATGGTCATACGTACCATGCATGCCATACTTATGACCCTCTTCAATGCAATTATACATCATACCCACACTTGCCAAAACATCACCGTTATAGCTTCCAAACTTCATCCATCAAATTTATGCCCCTGCTGTCTTTCTTCATCTTTTTTAACACAATCTCTATTCATGATCCGCTTCTTACACTGGAGGTTCTGAACATAGGTTGGGCCTGAGGAAGAAGGAATGGCACAATACTGCTTAACAAGTACCATTATGTTATCCCTGACCACGGACGATGAGTCCTCAGGCAAATTCAGCTTATCTGGATCAATAAGAAGGCAGGTAGGTTTATCTTCTCCAACTTTTAAGAAACTAGTAACATTTGTTCGGTTAATTATTCCACCGACAATTAGTATCCATGGTTTTGAGGGAGAAGATACCCTGATTTTTGGAAATGTAAAAGAACACCTTTGCTACGTGTGCAATTAGATGAAAATGAAGCTTGCTGTAGCAGAGGGACATCTGTGCAACATGGGCAGAATGATTGAAGAAATGGAAGGCAAACTTAGGAACTCACTCGACCAGGTTCTGTTTCCATCTTGTTTTTCAATTTAGAAAGTTTATACCCTCTATGGGAATGCCAAAGTAAATCTAGTAACACCATAACTGAAAAAACGATGGGAAGGAAGGTTAGTATCGTTTTGATAGACTGTAATAATAAGATTGTTGTGAGCGCAGGTTTACTTTGGGAAGACGAGGGAAATGGTTTGCAATTTACGACCACCGGCAGAAGCAGTACAAATGAGATTGCCCGACAGCTGATGTTATGAAATCTGTAGGCCCTTTTCCTTGTTTGGTCCAAACGTCTCTGTGTCAGTCTCCTCTATTTGTACAACGTGTTCAATTTTTATGTTCAGGGATCGAGATATTTAAATTGCTGTAGTGTTGTAACAAGAAAATACCGTACCACTTTTCCATGTTAATGTAGGTGTGGACATTTGTTCCGGTTATGGATTTTTTTTTCGGTTCTATAAAAATATGTATCAATCGGTTATTATATCATATTCGGTTCTATTTCGATTTTATTTGAGAAAATTTTAAATTTTTTTAATAAATTTTCGGTTTTTCAAATTTTTTCGAAAAAGAATTTTTTTACAAAGGATCTATTTAAAAGCCCAACCTGCTGTCATATGGGCCTTTGATTTGGGATGCGAGTAAGTGAAATGAATCCTTCCGTAAAGCCTGCCTTTTGCAATGGGCTTGTATCAGTTCCTTTTGCAATTGGGCTTATTACAATGCATATATTCTCTTGCAAATATTTAAAAAAATAGAAAATGTAAAAAATATCAATCAAGAAAGATTGCGGACTTAATTGGCATCTCTACGATGGGCAAGATTGGGAAAAACCAGCCTAACCACCTTAGGGTTTATATATACAGAAAAATCTATAATTCATACATAGAAAAAGGCGAATACGATTGACACGAAAGGTCTCTCGCATAGAATCTCAAGCAGTCGGGTGGCAGGACTCGGGATCCAATCCAATCAAGCACGACGAACAAGGAGGAAGATGGAGCGGCGCTTCACCTTCTTCTTCTTCCACTGTTGCTGATCCATGGCCTCTTCTTCCCAACGTCGCTGCGTTTTTGGTACTCTCTCGACTACCCAGCCTTTTGTCCTTTGTTTTCTGTTACTTTGTTCGTCATTCAATCGCTTTGCGCTTTGGTTTTTTCGATTTTTCTGCAGTTGGAAACATACCCTATGATACCACAGAGGAACAGCTCATAGAAATTTGCAGAGAGGTTGGGCCTGTTGTCTCGTTCAGGTCAGCTTTTGACACCTCTCTCCAATTTGTTTTAGAAAGTTTCGTTAAGATAAGACGAGGGCTTGAAATTGGGGAAATCTGGGGGATGTGCTGTTTGCTTTTGCTTTCAGGTTGGTTATCGATAGAGAAACTGGGAAACCTAAAGGGTATGGTTTCTGCGAATACAAGGACGAAGAGACAGCACTAAGTGCTCGTCGTAACCTTCAAGGTTACGAGATCAATGGCCGTCAACTTAGAGTTGATTTTGCAGAGAATGACAAAGGCGTTGACAGAAATCGTGACCAGGTAGCCTATCGCTTCTTTTCCTTACATTCCTTATTTTCTGCCTTTTGAGTTGTTTTTTCAACCTTTACTGTGCCTTTGCTATGGCTATACCATAAAATTCCGGCGATGTTTGGCAAACACCATCAGTTTCACCTATTGCTTCTTGCTCTCTGCTAGTGATGGTTCAACTGCTGAAGGGTTTATTTTGTGACTAAGGATGGTACCTTTGGATTTCAGGGGCATGGAGGACCTGGATTGCCCACTGCTACTGGTTTGTTTTTTCTCACTAAATTATTAGTAATCACAATTGCCTTTGGACAAACCATACTTATTGTTGCTTTTCGGCTGCGGGATGATAGAGCCTCTAAGTCAAATTGGAGGAGCTACCATACGAGGGGACTCTAATATCCATCAGCCAATTGGTCTCCACCTTGCTATATCAGCTGCATCTATAATGGCGGGTGCTCTAGGTGGTCCTCAAGTCGGCTTGCATTCTACACAAAGTACTCCGCAGGTTCCAGCTAGTGATCCCCTGACGTTTCATCTTGCCAAGATGTCTAGGAGTCAGCTCACTGAAATCATATCTTCCATTAAGGTGCGGATCCCTCCCAGCATGTTTTACCTTGTTTCTTAAAAAAACTGAATCTGTGCTAGATCAATTATCTAACATCATTTTGTGTTTCGGCATTAGTTAATGGCTACACAGAATAAGGAGCAAGTTCGACTGTTGTTGCTGTCAAGGCCTCAGTTGCTTAAAGCTGTTTTCCAGGTTCCCTCCGGCTCCCTGATCTTGCCAAATCTTTTGACTCTTTGTTTTACATGTTTATAATTTTATGGGAGGTAGGAGGGAATTGGCTTTTCCATTTGTTTTACTCTATATCCATAAAATGGGAGTTCTCGACCTTCTGCTATAGTTATTTTCTTAGGACGATACGATTCTTACTACATTTAAAAGTAATGTTGTGAACTTTTTAGTTGGCTCCTGTTGCAGGCACAGATAATGCTTGGTATTGTGAGTCCCCAAGTGGTTAGTTTCATCTAACTGTGAACACCTTTGTTATTCCCTCTTGTCAGTGTTTTAAGAGAGCGATTTCTGTTCTTGATTGCAGTTGCAGATGCCGAATATCGTTCAGGCTCCTGGTCATTTGACAGGGTCTTCGGTTCAAGAGACGCAAAAATCTGATCAAGTGGCCAGTTCTAACCTCCCCAGTTTACCTCCACTGGCACAAAGGTCGCAACCTTTGGGTCGCACTCCCCATAGTCAATTTTCTATACCACAACAGTCTTCTAAACAACCCTTTGTTCAGATCCCACAACATGGCACTCCACAGCAACCAGCACAGCTGGGCCTTTCGGGAGCTCCAGTTCTTTCTTCTGCAAACCCTACTATGAGATCCCAAATTCAAGTGTCCGGTTCTCTTTTAGATGAAACCCCTCCCTTCCAACGCCAAGCACAAGTTTTGGCTTCAGCTTCCACTAGGTTAGGCTATAGCGGTCAGATTGCTCTCCCGGATAATACTATCCAGTCATCCGTATTACCTCGCCCACCCTTTTCGAACTCTGTGCCGCTGGTGAGTGTTCAGAATTATTGTTCTTATGAATAATGAGGCTGTTGTGATGGTAATTCTGTTCAAGGGTCTGTCAATAGCTTAACTCCGTTCTATAGTTCATTTTGTTTCATACCAAAGAACCGGGCAGTTACTGAACCTGAAGCTACATGGAAAATCTGACTCAGCTGTCACTCTTTTTGCCTGCAGACACATATATCCCCGAATGTTCAGTCCACATTGATTCAGCAAGTACTGAACTTGACGCCAGAACAGCTGAGTTTGCTTCCCCCAGAGCAGCGGAAAGAGGTCATAAAGCTGCAACAATCGCTCAGGCAAGAATAGATCAGATGATTTGGCCTTCATAGGCGTGAGCCATTTAACCCCGGGTCTCTCTTCCGAAAAGGCGAATACGATTGACACGAAAGGTCTCTCGCATAGAATCTCAAGCAGTCGGGTGGCAGGACTCGGGATCCAATCCAATCAAGCACGACGAACAAGGAGGAAGATGGAGCGGCGCTTCACCTTCTTCTTCTTCCACTGTTGCTGATCCATGGCCTCTTCTTCCCAACGTCGCTGCGTTTTTGGTACTCTCTCGACTACCCAGCCTTTTGTCCTTTGTTTTCTGTTACTTTGTTCGTCATTCAATCGCTTTGCGCTTTGGTTTTTTCGATTTTTCTGCAGTTGGAAACATACCCTATGATACCACAGAGGAACAGCTCATAGAAATTTGCAGAGAGGTTGGGCCTGTTGTCTCGTTCAGGTCAGCTTTTGACACCTCTCTCCAATTTGTTTTAGAAAGTTTCGTTAAGATAAGACGAGGGCTTGAAATTGGGGAAATCTGGGGGATGTGCTGTTTGCTTTTGCTTTCAGGTTGGTTATCGATAGAGAAACTGGGAAACCTAAAGGGTATGGTTTCTGCGAATACAAGGACGAAGAGACAGCACTAAGTGCTCGTCGTAACCTTCAAGGTTACGAGATCAATGGCCGTCAACTTAGAGTTGATTTTGCAGAGAATGACAAAGGCGTTGACAGAAATCGTGACCAGGTAGCCTATCGCTTCTTTTCCTTACATTCCTTATTTTCTGCCTTTTGAGTTGTTTTTTCAACCTTTACTGTGCCTTTGCTATGGCTATACCATAAAATTCCGGCGATGTTTGGCAAACACCATCAGTTTCACCTATTGCTTCTTGCTCTCTGCTAGTGATGGTTCAACTGCTGAAGGGTTTATTTTGTGACTAAGGATGGTACCTTTGGATTTCAGGGGCATGGAGGACCTGGATTGCCCACTGCTACTGGTTTGTTTTTTCTCACTAAATTATTAGTAATCACAATTGCCTTTGGACAAACCATAATACACTGCAGACGCAAACAACTGGGCGTCGTTGGTGACATTCAATTGATTTGCAGTTCTGCACCTCGATCAACATACCAAGAACGGTCACCTGAATGGTAAGTGGTTGTACAATTAGTGTAAGCATTAATTTGTCATAGAGAACTGTCGGAATAGGGGAAAACAGAAGAAGATATACCCATTGATTTTCCTGGAATAAGGTGAAGTAGTGTCGTCTTTGTAAACCCAATCAGTTGCTTTCGACTCCTTCTCACCCAAAGTCGGGGGGTATTGGATCCTTTTTTTATGTTTTGCACCATAACCTTTATATCAAATTTTAGATTGATGTGGATCAATGCATCTGAATTTGTACTCCCCTAAAATGGATCCATTATACTACTCGTTATCATGTTCTTCCCCAATAATCTGATTTTCTTCAGCAACGATTTAAATTTGACATTGTTGCAAATCTCGGAAGATTTGGATGGTCGAAATGAATGAAAACAATAATTATCACAGATTAAATGTGATAAATAGATTTTCTCAAACAAACTATTTAAAAACACAATTTTTCAGAACTATATAGTGTAAAAACAGGAAAAAATTACATAAATTATTTTTAAAAAAATGTTGGACCTAAACAACACGGACGGGCATATTTGAGCCGAATGGACAACTCGAATGGTAGTACAGGACTGAATATTGAGCCATATTTCTGAATGTGATTCTGTTATTGTACTTTTAAAGGATAGCTTTTCTATCGTCACAGAAGGATCCTGCGGATGGTACGAGCCACAGCGCGAGAGGCCAATCTTCCCACTAAGTCACCTGGCAACTGCATCAACCGCTGTTGCGTCTCTTGTGGAAGCTTTTCCCATTCATTTTTTTTTTTGGAACCAATAAACAAACAACAAAGGTATCGTCTCAGCTAATGTCATGCCCCATCTAATAAGCTCCCAAGAAAACTACAGTGAATTCGAAATTACCTCGGGTAAAACTGAAAGGATTGGCAGAACGTCTTGAGCAGATGGAAGTTGTTGATACAAGACGATGGCTGTTTCCTTTAGCGACTCACTTCCCTTTCCATTTCCACCAACCGGTTTTTCTTCCTGCAGGTAAATTTGGGCGAATACTAGTATCAGCATAGCAAAATCCTACACACTTCCATGCATATGCTTGTGCATGGAAGTGTATAAAGGGTATGCTCTTACCGTGCTAAACCTTTCTGTCTCTTGCATCCCTGAGAATAGTGAGATGAGTCGATAGAATGTTCTTAGGTTTATGCGGTCTTCCTCTGTCAACGAAGTACGTGACCTCGAACCAGCAAAGGGTATACTCGTAGAAGCCACCGAAGTGAAGGAGTCCAAAGTTGCCAACCCAAATGCATCTATACCCTACAACGAGAAAAGATAAACAATTCCCTTATGTTTTATCAAAGAGCTGAATCCAATCGACTAATGGTCCAGAGGCAAGACATGTAACTTAAGAATCTATATGTTGAATAGACAAAAATTATGCAACGCTGAATAATGACACACTTGCAGTTGCAGTTAGAGGAGAAGAATAACAAATTACCATATAAAGTATGTCGAACGAAAGTTCTTGATAAAATTTCTTCTTTTAAACAGACCTATATGGGAGTTAATTTAAAAAGCTCACCTTAGCAAGTTCTTGAAGAAGTATTTCTCTTACAAACGAACCCTGTTCAACAGTTCCAAGAAGAATTACTGACTTAGAACAGTTGATTTTATAAGTCGGAACATACAGTGCTCTGCTTATATTTACCTTCTCAGTGAAAGTGAAGGTAAGCATTTGCTTGATGACGACCCTTGAACCCGTGTCCACCACCGGGTTCTGAACTAGTGATGTTTCTGTTCGAAGAGACTGAAGAAAGCAAACAAGAGTAAGAAACAAACTTTGCTATCCTGTCTTGTTTGCACAATCAAACCCCTTAATGCAAAACAACCGTGATTTCCAGCCAAACTTCTTATGCTTGGACTATGTGCAGAATCGTTCAATTTTTCAGCCCCTTTTTGGCTGCTTGACAGACTGTATCATCCAGTTTGTATCTTGATTTCTCCATGTAACACCTTTTCAAATAACTTTTAAATTCATAGATAATCAAAACTCGACGAGGGATTAAATGACTACTCACCTCAGTAAGCAACGACTCAAGCCGATCAATCCTGAAAACACCTTCCTAGTAGATGTATACGGAAAAAAAAAGGATAACATTCAGAAGCGAAACATCAAGAAACCAAGCGCCACACGTGAGTACAAAGTGATTGAAGGACAAGACAGTTCCCGTACCTCATAAAGAAGATTTTGCAGAGAACTTTTAAGTTGGGGCGAGCTGTCAGTCAAAATTTTTCTGGCGATCCAAGGGTATGTACTGCCCAAAACCTTGTAGTTGGGGTTTATACTGATGGCGATGCCCTCCAAAACAGCCAAGCTGGTAGATTAATAACAATAAAAAAATGGTTATAACTTTTCGGAGGCAAATAGTCAAACTTTTAAGGTAGCAACTACTTCAATCTACGGTCTTGTGCAATAGCCTCGACTTTTCGCCTACATTCTGTTAACGGTGTCAAAACCCATACGACTTCTAAATTTTGAAAAGATTAATAGATCAAAACTAAGAACGATTGTCTGATCTGAAAAGAAGCTGGTTGTTTAGAAAGTTAAACACCTTCGAATTACAAGAGAAAAGTATGGGGGTATTCTGAATTTGAATCTGTACCTGAAAAATCAACAAAAGAATGTCAGTATGGCTTATAAATTCATAGACTAGTAAAGGATAGAAATTCCAGCAGAGTGCTTTTTAGTGAGCCTCATCCCCATACAACTACGTCACAGGCTGATAAGAACTTAATAAAATTTTGTAGCATCTGCAATCTAAATTTAAAGTTGCATTTCATTCATCAATAAGTAAACCTACATCGTTTTTCCTAAATTGCCAATCAGGTCGCTGAAGCTAATGTTCCGAACTCCACTGGCAACTGCAGCTTGAAAAACATCTGAGGAAAGAGAAGGAACTTTCAGATATAAGTACCCACATCTTAAAGTCTCATTATGAGCGCCTGTACCTACAGAACAAAACTCATTTACAAACTGAAATCGAGAACGAACCTGTTAAAGCCTTTGTCACAGCAGCTCTCTCTGCTGTTGGTGGAAGAAGCCTAAGAAATTTGTGTAGATAAGAATAGGAGATGCTATTGGAAAACAGGTATAGAATTATAGATATTCAATGATCAGATTACCCGAGAGTTACAAAGTCCTTAGCAAGTGCATTGAAATCTCGATTTACAAGATGAAGGCATGCTTCCATGAATCCATCACGTAACTCTGGCTTAAATTCTCCCATCATTCCGAAATCTGATAGCAAAATAGAGGTTCGGAATTATATGCCACACAATATATTTCTCGCACAGGACAGTAAAACCTTTACTGAGCTTGTAAACATAAAACCCGAGCTTGTAAATATACAGCATGTAACATATCAAGTGTAGAGAATAACTGATGTTCCCATTCTATTAGCTGGAGAAGTTATCAATCGCCTACCAAGCCAGACCCAGACATTGGACCATTAAAAAAAACCATTGAGCAAATGAGCTAAAGAAACCTTCATGTTTTTCGGTATTTTTTGGTCAGGGAGAGTATTGACAAAACAATATCAAAGTTTCTCTTTCCTACCAAGAATAGTAATAACTAATATACAAGGAGCGCCATAATAACACATAAAACGTTTTATAGACTGGGAACTACCTAAATATGCCAGTTGCCCATCATATGTGCGCAAAAAGTTGCCAGGGTGGGGATCGGCATGGTAAAATCCATACTCCAGAAGTTGATTAAATGAGCAGTAAACTCCAACCTCGACCAGATAAAGATCCTTAACTTCGATAAGCTTCTGACCCTGCAATGACACAGAAAGCCAAGTATTTTAAAACATGATAGTCTACATAAGGGAAGGTAACTGGTTATCCAGTCTTATTGAAGGAAGGTGAGATCTTTAACACAAAACAGATAGTGACTTATGTAATTGCAAAACTTTGGTAACCGTACCTCCACCCATTCCATCACAAGAACTCTACGGGTAGTGTACTCTGTGTACATCTTTGGAACCAGAACATCTTTAATGTCGCCATACAATTGCCTATTCAAGCATATAGGATGTAATTAGGGGAGTGACTTATATAACGCTACTATATTGGATGAACTAATGCATCATAGAGACAATAAAAAGGTTAGAAAACTGCGACTTATCAACTAGAACACCAAAAGGAATGGAAAGGTTCGACCAAGATCTCAGTGAGTGAAACAAGGAGGTATATGTTCATCATAGCCAAGATTTTTGTAGGAGAAAGAAAGGAGTTTTGCTAGGCTAGGCTTTACCTAAATTTTATTCCGTTTTGGGCCTCTTTCATATAATCCATCTCCTGCATTCAACGTGATTTACCTGTATTCAATATAAAGCTCTAAGAAATTCCTCGAAAAAGGAAACTTTTTTAGGATGAAGCAGTGTTAGTTCATTGCCCGGCAGAGAACAACTCTGACACTACAATCCAGAGAAAATTTCAAGACATTAAAAATATTCTAATTTCTAACATCAACTTTTCTCATGATAAGTTGATAATCATATACGATGAAATGAATTGACTCCTTTTCAGCGTCACTGAATTTCATTGGTGCCACAAAACCTAAAAGTATAGATTCGTACATATCAAAAACAGTCTGGCACTCTTTCTCCTTTATGGGAGCAAAAAGAAGCATAATAGACATGGAAGCAGTTCCCTGCTATAAAGTTTTTGAGAGTGGAGAGAAAGATATAAATGCAAACATGATGCTGATTTGTGATGTTACTAGATCCATGTTTACCTTAAAGAGGCTTGTAGCCCACTCATCAACGACTGCCTGCATATGGAACAATCACACTAAGTTTCATTGAGCATCAAATCCCAAATATCAAGGTAAAGCATAAGCTTATGAAAGTCGCAAACATCTAGGTATACCGACGTAGGCACCGAAGGAGGAACAAAATTTAATTATACCTGGAGATCTGAGTTGAATCTCCCCGACTTTTTTATCAAGCCTGCTAGAAAACGTAGGATTAGTATGTCCAGAGAAATAGCAGCTCGCACCCCAGGTCTTTGCACTTTAACGGCAACAACCTCTCCAGTCCGACGAAGCCTAGCTTGATATACCTGTTTGCCCGTATCAGATTGTTGCAGATGGCCAAAAACAAACGGTTAGTAAGTGTATAAGCCGTGAACCAATAAGAACCCGCCTTAAAAGCACCTGCCCAAGGGACGCTGCAGCAACAGGCTCTGGGGAAATCTCAGAGAAAAGCTCATATATAGGAAGGCCAAGTTCTTCTTCTATCATATTGAAAGCAACTTCGGTTGAAAAAGGAGTTATCTGATCTTGTAGGAGGGAGAGTTCATCCAAGTACGAAGGAGGTATCAAATCCTATGCGAGAATTAAGTCAAGTTCAACATCCTTAAGGAGATAAGAGACCAAATAATAAAAGAAAGCAAATCGGTCTTTTATTTTTCAAGACACCAAGTGGTTAATGAACAATATGGAAGGTCCATTAAGCAGACAAAGAACAAGAACATCGGAGCAGCTTACAGGACGAGATGAAACAGCCTGAGCAATTTTGACGTAAGCCTAAAACCAGCAAAAACGATTGTGAAACCATTAGCATTGAACACCAAACGCCAAAGAACACACTCAAGGACCACCATGCAGACAAATTTCAAAGAAATCGCAGGTTTTAAGGCACGGGGAGAAAGAGAGAAGCCATACGGGGCCAAGTTCGACCAGTATTCTCCTAAGCTGCGCGGCTCGTACCTAGGGAAA